GCACCGTAGAGCCTAAAAAATGCAAGAATTGGGGGAAGAGAGATGCTCCGTACATGACAAGAGTGTCATTACGAGGCTCGGCGCAACACTGTCTAAACGAAAAGAGAAGGAATGCATCTTCCACAGAAAGTGGTAAGATGGAAGATGCATGATCCGTTGCTATTCATAGTAATACGGATGCATCTTGTTGCCCTTCTCTGTGGGAGGATGCATTCGTTCCTTTTTCGTCTCGACAGTGGTGTGGAGAGGCCCTATTACACGAGTTTGGGGAGAAGAGATGTTCCCAAAAGTAGATGAGTGTGATTAGTAGAGAATCGACTGCTCGACAAGAAGGCGAGACCGCCCCGGGGGCGGGGTCCCACTAGCAAAGAGGATCTAATTAAGGGCCTGAATCTGGATAGGTTCTTGGCGGAGAGATGCAGAAAAGCAGATCAGTCACGGATTTCTGCATCTGTCCTTATACACGTCCAGATTCAGGCATTTCAAGCCAATCCTCTTTGCTAGTGGGACCTCGCCCCGGGTGGCTCAGTAGTTATACCGCATCTAGGCTTTGACGTCCGTTTTCTTTTTTTCTCGGCCCACTATACCAGCGGTGGTGTTCACGTCCTCCTTATATGATTCAATGGTTTCGTACCACGGGAGTAGAATCGGGAACGACATGCAGTTGAGAGCTAGACTGCATGTGCCGAGAGCTACGGCGGGCGAGATCGCTGTGCGAGATCGTGGGTAAAGACGAAGGCATGGGGGTGCGAAGGTTGCCATAGATGCTCACAAGCTTACGTCCCGACAAGGAGCTGCAGCATTGTCTGTTCCACGGCGGTCGCGGGCTCGCTGAAGAGAAGATAAAGAACTGGCGAGAGAGGACAACGTGGACACTGTTGCCAGCTTTCAGTCAAGGGCCCGCTGACGTGAGAGAGGGACGGAGGTGGACCGTGGACGTACCTTAGCGGCCACGTAGTGCGCGGCTTCACTCGCCGTGCAGCTTGTCTGCTTGTCTGCATGACCAGGCCCATTGCACGTCCTGCAAACGGGCTCGTACATGGATAGACTAACACGTATCTGATTCAACCACACTCACACACACACACACACACACACACACA